GCGCGCCTGTCAGGGGAAATAAAACAAGGATCGGGTAAATAGCGACGGTCCGTAGATAATTCTGTTTTGTTTATCACTGCCGCGGGAAATGCGATTTCGTACGCCACCGACTGACGCGATTTGTTTTTATATTCAACGTATCCCGCCCGCGCTTCTCCGCGTGGTTATGTATGTGTAATTCAGCGGCACTGGTGGCTCCTGCGGTATCTTGTACGCGCAAAATACGCGGATTATCGATTACACCCTTGAAATGCGGATCCGCTCCTCTAATTAATGATTTTATTTAAAGCCGAACGCGAAACCGACATCGATATCGACACTCATCAGCGATTTTCAGCCATACATTTTGGAGGAGCGAAAGGATCGTTACTCTGGTCTTTATCTTTATCTAATAGCGATCTTTTATTTCAAATAACGACTCATTCGCTAGTCGCGACCACGGCCGACATTTAGGTGGCAAGATCGTCATCGCCATTTAATTAAATCGAAAAATCGGATAGTCATTAATGACAAGTGGCGCCCAATCGCGATGACTCCTTGATTTTTATTGATCCCACGCTGGGCCCAGCCGCGAGGATCGGGACCGCTCGCAGGGACCCTCTCGATGGCACCTATAACGACAACCATGCTGGCAAAGGCCCATCGTCGCCGTGCGGAACACACCGCCCCCTCAAATCTTATCGATCGCACAGAAAGAATTCACGTAATGGATCCCGGCTGCGACGACTTTCTCATCGGCACGCAATAAGAGATTATCTGTCGGTCCCTCCAAAATCCTTCATCTCGAAGAGAGGAAAAAAAAACTTTTCGAGTCATTATTAATCCTCAATCATCTGAGGCGATCATAATATCTGCTTGAGATTTTGAATCGTAATAAAGCTTTTAAATTAATCTTGTTCACTCGCTTAAAAAGAAAATAACAGACCTGTCGCAGTTCTCTCTTTTTCTTTCCTTTTTTTTATCAACAGTTTTATAACTTTTCGTTTAATTTTACATAGAGGTCTTATTTTTGTAAAACTCCACAGATTTAATTTAATGGAAATTTAATTAGCAAACTGCAGAAGTAGCTAATGATCCAATTTTGATATGAAAAGGTTGACTTCTAATCGTTAAACCAAGCAATAAACAAACTTTACAATCGAAATACACAGAAATGACGTTAAAATATCTATAAAAATTTAGTTAAATACAGATTTTTAATAATTTTGTTGGACCATCGAAATGATTATGTAGGAATCTCAAGCAATATTGCAAAAAGTTTTGACATTCTAGCAGAGAGCCATCTTATATAATTATTTTAATATATTCCAATAAAATTATTTTCAAATTTGTTTAAATTTTTAGATACTTTAGCAAAATGTCTTCTCCGTATATAATATAACGATTCATGAATAGCTCATGTTTATAGGCATGTGCATCATGATTGTTTGACGAAGCATAAACGATCACAATATACAATCTAAATTTTTTGCAATAAAATCTCATTTTAAGAGAAAAAAAATATAACCATCCTTGAAAAAAAGTGAAAATATTTCACTTCTTGAAAAAGAATGATAATTTTCATTCCTTTTAGAGTGAATTTTCACTTCAAAGGAGGCAAAATCTCACTCCAAAACAAATGAAATGAAGGGTGGTTGTATTTTCACTTTCTTATAGAGTGAGATTTCACTGCAAGAAATTTAGAGTATACTTCCTAAAAAAATCACGTTAATTCAATTTCTTATCATTCGTACACATTCGTGCAACGAATATCAATCGCACTGACGATGGACACTTTCGATCGTCTCGTCCGACAAGTGCAGAGTTCACAGATTGATGAAGGAAGAAGGGAACGAAGAGGCACAGGTAGGAGAAAAGCATTAGCGCGCAACACGTTCGATTAGCGTTTTCGTCGTATGCGAAACATAACCGCCGCTGCGATCCGCGATACGATCTGTGAGTCTGTCGGGGCTATAAGGAGATCCATAAACTTTCGTGTCCCGAGATAGTAATCGTCAGGTGCGAAAAGCGTGACGGTTCTAGAGGGAAAGCGTTCGCTGGTCCCCGTTGGTATTGGATAGGTGTTCCCCACGACGACGACAACGATGAGCGTGCGCACTCAATCTGCGTCGCTACGTTCGGCACCGTGTCCAAGAAAGCGTCGACGTTTTTTTATTTATTTTTTTATTTTTTCCCTTCTTTTCGCGCAGCCAAATGCGCCAAGTGCGCGATTCCCGACCACGATTGCCATAAGGCGATACCGGAGCGCTTATACGAGGCGACGAGCGGCCGATGATCCGCTTTTGCCTCATTAAGGAACGTTGCACCCAAGGTAACAATAAATCTCCGACGAGAGAGAGAGATGCTTATATCGATTTCACGACGATACGATACGTCGATTTGTCATACGTTTATCCGGCGTTTATTATATGAGATTTATCAACCGCCCGATCTCACGCGCCACGTTCGTAACGTGGACTATGATTATTAATTTAAAGACGAGGGGGTGAACAGCGAGGGGAATAGTTAATGCAAAATGCATCCCATACATTGGTGCTCACGCGCGCGTACTTTCGATAAGCGTCAAGAAATCGTGATTCAATAGAGTCGAACCACCAATAAATAACCATATCGCAATGTAATGGTTCTGTTGGAATCCACGGCGCGCTCTCGGTGATTTTTACATGAATTTCTGCGTGTCTCGTTCTTTCTTCCCTTTTTCGCAGTAACGTGCGAGACAGCAACGTCATGTCAAAATTAGTATTTTTTTTTAATTAGAGCTTTCTAGTTAATTAGAGTTTTTCTTTTTTTCATATGAAGTATATTATCGAGCGCACTCTTGATTTTGAAGTCGCGTATGAGGAACTTGCGAGATCGTTGTTACATGAACATTCGTGGAATAGTTAATTAATCGTTATATGGCTGTTCTACTATAATTACTGTTTTAATATTAGAAATCTTGAAATATCAGTAATTGTGGTAATATAATATCACTATATAATTAAAACAGTCATATGTCGTTCTCTACTTTAAAAGTGACACAACTTACAAAATTAAATTTTTCAAGAAAAGGAAAAACTATTTTTCAATTTAACAGAAAATTATTGATTAATCATTTAATATCAAAATTCTTAGAAACGTGATCAAATGTCATTTTTGCCATTTAAAAAACCACTCTTTTTCAGTTCTGGCGATTTTGACAGCCTACAAAGTAATGAAAAATCCGTAATAACTCATCGAAAGTGACATAAACTCGGAACATTAGCAGTTTATTATATTTACCTTGATAAACTAAAATCATTAAATTTAAAATAAAACGATTTTTTCTTCAAACTTCGATCACCAAAACTGTTTCAACTTTAAACGTTTTCTATATAGAAGATTCTCCTTTTTAGTCACAAAAATAATACAAAATGTGTCATTCTTAGAGAAACGTGTTTTTAAAAATTACGTCTCTTTAAAAATGTTAAGAACGACATAAGTGCTATTTGATTGACGATCTATGAAGTTAGTTTACGTTTGATGATTGCTAGAATGATCTTCATCTAACTCATTCATGGTATAACTAAAAAATCATAATTTTTGAATTGTCATTTTTGTAGTAAGGAAACGATGAATCGTGATGATTAATAATATAATAAAATATAATAATGTAACAAAAAAAAACGGATACAACTATACTATATATATATCTTTTTGTTACTACAATGAACACGTATTGCTATATGTTCCCTTACGATTACAAATTGCGAGTTCATTTATACGACGCACCTTGCATCGAACTACTTATGACCGTCCACCACCTTCGCAACATCAACTTTCTCCTCGAATATCAAAGTGCAACTCGAATCGGATTATCCGCACAACTGCACTACAAAGTAGCCTGTATTAAGTTCTGGATAGTATCGTATGTACGTGTGTATACAACGGAGTGCATTATGCATCTCACTTTAATCTCAGTCATACACTTTAAAACAAATTGAGTTCCACGTGATTATGCACGTCTTAAGCAATGATGAAACGGTATATATCATAATATCATATACTTATTTGCGTAACATATATTTTCATTATTTCAATCTGATATAGTAAGGGAAAAGCATAAACAATCAATTTTTTTTATTTATTTCAAGTTTGGCGGATAGTTCTATTATATATAGTTTCAAAGCCCGATACAAAATCGAACGATCGAAATCGCATCGCGAAGATACCTGCGAATACTGTTCTCTTCTTGCCGTGCCGGTAGCGTGCGGATGATCCTCGTACAAGTCGAGACGGTACGACGGTGGCGGCAGCAGCAGGTTGATGGATGCCAGAGTCTCATGAGAAAATTCGGATGGAGGGGATTCGCCTCGCGACTCATCACGGTCGTCCTCGTATACTCGGCGTATAGTGGTGGCACAGTACTAGTGGTAGTACCGGACTGACGACGCCGGTGTAGTAGTAGTAGTAGTAAACGATAGTGGTAGTAGCAATAGTAGTGGTAGAAATGACGCTGGCGGTGCTAGTAGTAGGGTCGGTCAAGAGTGGGAGATGGTAGGTCCGGTCGCGAGGACGGATGGGGGTAAGTAAGTACCCTCGGTGCCACGGCGACCGTAGGTTGCTTCGACGATACCGGAGACAGAATCGGAGAGAGAAGGACAGAGAGGCGGGTGGGGGACAGGGGGACACTCCGAGTCCGCTTGAGGGGACGACCAGGCGACGGAGTGAGAGAGAGAGAGAGAGAGAGAGAGAGAGAGAGAGAGAGAGAGAGAGAGAGAACGCGATACGCGAACGAGAAAGACGAGAGCATGATGCGGGGGTGGGAGTACCCAGAGCTAGGGACACTGGTGGGGCACGCGAGGGGGGCTGGACAGGGTGGGGACACGGTGGGAGAGGTAGGGACGACAGAGGACGTTTGTCCACATTCACTCACCGACACACACACACACACACACATATACGCGCTCGCACGCACGCGTGCACTACCGGCAAGAAGGTTCTTTTCTGACCTCTCTCTTTTCCACTTGCTTGTGTTTCAGCGCTGGCGCGACTGTCAAACATCCACCACCAACAGCAGCAACAGCAGCAGCAGCAGCAGCAACAGCAGCAGCAGCAGCATGCTCAACAACAGCAGCGGCTCCACTGTAGTGGTGGTGGTAGTGGTGGTGGTGGTGGTGCGGGTAGTGGGGATGTCGTCTCCGGCCCTCGTTCTACTGGTAGGGAGGATAAAAGCGTCGTAGGGAGGGTAAAACACCCGGCATCGGTGACGACGACGACGACGACGGCGGCGGCGGCAACGACGACGACGGCGACGACGACGATGACGGCACCAGCGACTAGTAGTGCAGGAAGTGGAGGAGGGGGTGGTGGCAGTGGTGGAGGTGACGGCGGCGGCGGCGGCGGAGGTGGCAGTAGTGGTGGTGGCAGTGACAGTGGTAGTGGTGGCAGCGGTACCCCCGGTGGGGATCGTAACGGCGGCGGTGGTGGTGGAGGTGGTTGTGCCGGTGGTGGTGGCGAAGTCGCGGAGAAGGAGGAGAGGCCACCGGCTTCAGAGACTGTCGAGCCGACGGCCGCGTTTGACGTCGCATCCCTCGTACTCTACGGCTCGCGCGCACTGCCGATACGCCTTAAGATCTTGCTCGATCAGTTGTTCAACCAGTTGCCCCCCGCGCAAGTGACACGTATCCTAGCTGCCTTCGGTTGGACCCACGAGGATTACACGCGAGGATACATACTGCAGGTGAAAAGAGACGTCGAATTATACGCACGACACATTCGCGCTCCGTAGAAGAAATCGTCCCTTCGCCGCGAGATGATAGTATACGTCGCATGACCACGACATCCACGGTACATAATGCCACACACATTCATACGATGTACAACAACACAATCGAACTTTGACGTATCGTACTTGGACGCTCGCCGGAGAGACACGCGGTTGATGTTTCGCGCGCGCGACGAGATCAGCTGCGCTTCGAAACGGGACGAACGGGGAGAGCGCAGTTTTGACTTTTGGATTACCTCCAGACGTGACAGCGACCGATCATTAACTTCGGTGACATTCTCTGCGAATAGGTGCTTCGGGCGCTTTGGCACCCGACACATAACTCGACAAAGTCCATACCGAAGAATATTTTCGCGAACGCTGACGCGAATCGAGACCTTTTGAAACTGTCGCCGCGTTACATAACGATTATCTTCAACGATCGCGTCTAACCAAGAATAATCTTCTATTCACACATACACGTGATGGTAAATTGATCTTTGAAATGAAACACGGATATCAATGGGCATTAATCTCTTCGCGGATAAAAAAATAAAACGCTTCAGTTTTATGGTGATTGTAAAATACGGTCGATAAATCGTGATAAACGGAGAAACAACGAGGACGATGACGAGTGAGAGCGGAGAGTTGAACGACGAACTGTGCATCGAAAGTGCCTCGTATGTTGGTGTGAGTGATGTTAAGCGATGTCGGAGCAACGGATCGAGATATCGGTACCTGAAGTGAGATACCTGCGCAATAACATGTAAATCCTGATGGAAGTCCCGTCGGACGCATCCGCTACATCGAAGAGGACGGAAACGACGAAGGGGAAGGAGAAGATCTGCTCTGGCGAGGAAGATCGATCCGCCGCGAGAAAGCAATTTGGAACAACGAGTGCGATCGAGATTCGTTACGTGTCGCTGAAGCGCTAGAGTGATAATTTCTCAATCCAAGATTTTCCCCGAAAAAAAAGACTCAAACTGCCGAAGTTATCGAACGTGATGCTCTTCTAGTGGAAAAAACGCTGTCACTTGAACTTGAAGACAGTTGTGGCTATGCACTTTTTAACACGATGTTCTGAGATAAAATTGTTTGCACGAAAGTTTTGCTGATTTTACACGACTGAAATAAAACTGCAGCTACGCTTCTCCGCAAGTGTCACAATCTGAAATTTCAACACTACTGACAGGCCAAGTCACGGTTTCTTAATGGACATTCTTCTCATCGACGTCGCGTCAATCGTAATCGATTCCGGGCTATTCTTGTTGCTGATTTCTACGATCGCCACTTTCTTGGGATCATCACTTTCTTTGGATCAACGAGTGAAAAATCGGAGCACATTAATGGACTGTTCTTTAACCGATATTGTGCGTCGATCAGTGAGAGAGCAGTGAAACTTTAACGCCGCTAATCCTTTGATTTTCAACTGGTGTCACCCGGGACTGTATATCGTCGTCAAAAATAGTGCGTTTAAATTTGGACACTCGCCACTGTGAACGGAAGTTTGTAAAAACATTTTAGCGATTAAAAAATGTCAATCACTTAAAAAATTTAAAACAAATCATAAATATAACGCGCTAAACGATGTTTCTTAATAATTAATAAACGTGGCGTAAAAAAAATATTAATCGAGCAGTCGTAATTACACGAACGTTTAAAAGGCGATTTGTGAAATTCGATAAAAAAACAAATACTTTGAATAAAATTCTAATTCGAGAGATACATCATGTTATCTGATCACTCGGAAGAGTACTTAGCGGGATAATTACCAATAATTTTTGTATCATAAAATAATTCTCTCTGATATCACGGCACTTAGCGCCGGACGCAATTTGCGAATGATTGATAACAGAAATGACATTCTTGAATAATTTTCCAATATTTCCTCGTACTGTGCTCTACTGAGATAATCATCGTGCTGTTCTCTTCAGATAATTATCGGTATCCTTATATTTCATGAAAACATCAATTTTGTCCGATACGTAATGCAACCTGCGAATAATCATAACAGATATGACACTCGAGACAACGAAATTATTATTCGTCGCAATGTGCTCCACCGAGATAATAATCGGCCAACCTTGACATTCCGTCGAAAAAGAAAAATACCAGTGGTACTTTATAAAAATATCTGTCAATCACACACTATGTGTAGCGCAGCGTAACTTTCAAGTGACCAAAACAAAGACGGTATTTGAAATGACAGAACTTGTTGCCACATATGTATCTCCACCGCGATATAATTACCTATACTTTGATCTTGGCTCACAAGAGATAATTGCAGAGGAGCGATGACGCATTGAGATAATTGCAACAGATTTTCGCAGGATTAAAGCGCGGTCTTCCAGTGCGGGTCTCGCATAGATTTTACGCGACACGCAGTGCACTTTGCCCGAAAACGCACGCGCACGCACGGTCGGTGCGTTAATCTCGCGGAGGCGCGCGCGTTAGGATCGGGGAGTATCCGTGTAAACTGAATTGCGCCGATGTCGGCGTGAAATTAAAACGTACGGGAAACCGGTTTCTCGAACGACTCGCGTACATAGATACGTATATACGTATGCACCGTGCGATGCGTTTATTCGTTGCAGCGGCTCCGTTGCAAAGGCGTGGGTAATGCTGGGAATTTAATCGGAATAAAGTTGAGTCTCTTCTTGGTGGAGAGGGACGCGAAAAAAGAAAAAAAAGGGGGGGGGAAAGAGAGAAAAGCGACATCGAAGGTGTCCATTATTGCGTATATGAATTCATATACACACGCGACGTGCGCAAAAACCTTGGAAGTTCCTCTCGAAAGCACGAGGGTTGTCATTGAATGAACGACGCGGTGACACGTGCGGGCCATGTACGCGTGCACGCTATCGTACACTTTCGTTTTGTTTACGTTTCGTTCCGTCAAACAAATTTAAACCGAAATTTAAGCTCGTTAGAGCTCGCGTGACGATACACTCCGAAACTCTATTAGGTCCGTACTTCTCCCGGGTGCTCGCGCGGATCGTTTGTACTGCCGTTTAGGTATTTTGTCGCCATGAGCGAGACGCCGGATGAAGACACGCGATTATCCGGAACGGATGTCGAAATACACGCTTCAATAGTAATCCGTTATGTCTTTAACAGGTCGAAGCGCCGATATTGACACAGAGCTAACTCTCAGTTACGACAGGACTAAATTAACGTCGTGGTGCTAACGGAGAATGTTTTCTAGCTACTTTCGTGATTACTGTCAAAGTAATATAGCATTGAATGCGGCATTACGGTGGCAAGATATGATTCTTCAAATTTTAGCTTTCATAAAAATTTAACGTGTGCTGCTTCAATATATACATATATATACAAAAAGACAGTTTTACTAAAATATCTAAAAAATTCGCTAAATGTTAATTTAGAAATAATATTGTTGAATCATCAAAATAATTACATAGGAATTTAAAACATGATGAGCAAAAAGTTTTGATGTTCTAATAACCGGTTTGAGTGTTGTACGTAATTATTTTGATGGTCCAATAAAATTATTTTCAGATATATATCTAGCTAAATTTTTAGATACTTCAAGAAAACCGATCTTTCCGTTATTATTCGCATTAAATAATTTTTATAATAAATAATTAGCTAAATATGCAATAAAGAGAATTAAAAAAGCAAAGTATAGCATGAAAATAAATAAACTCTTCACTTTCTTACGTCCTTTGCGTGGAAAATAGAAGATAGATTTATTTGAAAACAATCGTTCGCTCTCGTAATAGTTAGTGATAATATCAATGATACGTTTACATATCAAGTGCTGTCAGCATGTCATTCAACTGCAAAATTCTCGCAGTCTGTTATTAGGAACGTCACGATTCTCAAGTCGTTTGATTCCGATGATCTACGATGATGGTTTGCAGGATAGTTAAGAAGTACGAGTATCTGCTTAGAATTTGCATTTCCTCGAGTCGATAGCATTTTCGCGGTCAAACGCTGCTTTATGATTCATTATAGAGGCACCTTCACCGGGTTGCTAATTCCTAATTACTGTCTACAACGCGAAAGCATCGTTCCGAAGAGGTGATCCATTGGAAATTAAGAAACTTGAGCTTCGGATTTGCATTCTCTTTCACATCTGGCGAACTTGTTGCGGTCGAGCACTCGTTACCAGAATAACTTCCCCGAGTCGCGAAGACTTCCTGAATCACGATCCGCAGTGCGCAAGTGTCACGTTGGGAGAACAATCTACGTGAAATTGAGACTTCAACTCTGCTCCGAATTTGCATCTTGGTACGTGAGTTATCCGCAACCGAGCTCTACTTTGTGACTCAAATCATAAGACTTCCTGAATCTGTATTGCGATAATATCCTCTACTAGTCTATCCGCTATTAGCAATTCCGTCATGAGTCCTAGAATTTCTACACCATGATCTGGGAGATTTACCTCTCGGTATGTAAATTATTCACGGTATTAAAGTGCTTCATGTTTCCTGACCAAACTATCTTGTTCGAGTGCACGGGACACTGTCTGGATCACGCTGCACAGCGCAATAGTGTCAAGATAAATCTTCGCTTAGCGGCGTATTTGCTGTCGGAATGCATACAAGACTTTCTTAATCATGATCGATGACGTACAAGTGTCGTTTCCGCGGTACGATCTGCGAGCAGCCGAGAACTTGAGCCGCTCCGGATTTGCATCTGCTATTCGCTAGTAAAGTTTTCGCGGTCGAGGGCCGCTTTATGGCTCGCCACGTTGGAATGCTCCTTCTACAAGGGGAGATCGTCGTGGCGCGGACGTGGAAACGGTAAATCACAGCTCGCTGAATGCGCGACGGAGATCGCCGGTGAATGCGTCGACGAGAAGCGTTTCACACACCGTGGAAGCCAATTTCGCACGTTGCAGCCGTGTTGTTCGGCCCTCGTTCGCTGCAACGGAAGCAGTTGCAGCGACCCAGCCTCTCGCAAGCGGAATCAAGTGGGATTTTACAGGAGCCTGGACGGCTACAGCTTTA